TTTAAATTCCTAGAATTACTGCAGAAGAATCAAGATTATTAGCAGCTGCAAATATAACACGAAAACAAACGGATAAGGGACTTTTTAAAGTTCAACCATGGTCACAGGAAGTTTACATTTACGTTTACAGTGGAATAGTTATTTCAGTATTCTTGATCGCAATTACGAGATCTTTTGCATTTTGCGCTTTGTGTATGAGAGCGAGTCAACGTTTGCACGACATGGCATTTAGTGCATTGATTAGAACGGGAATGAGATTTTTCGATACAAATTCAAGTGGTCGAATTCTTAATAGATTTTCAAAAGATATTGGAGGAATCGATGAATTACTTCCAAAAACTCTCTTGGATGCTGGGCAAACAAACATGGTGATGATGGGAACTCTGATAGTCACTTGTACTGTAAACTATTACTACATCATTCCAATTGTCCTACTTGGTACGGTATTCTATTGGATTCGAAAAGTCTATCTCAAGACAAGTAAAAATGTCAAGCGCCTTGAGGGAATGAGTAAGTTTTTTTATATTCCTTAAATTCAATTTCATGAGTGTTTAAAACTTCACTATACTTTGTAAATTTTTATAGTTTATCAATTTATATAAAATTTTATAAATTGTTTGTTAATTCACATTTTTAATAATTAATTTGTTAACTATAGCATGTTCACCGGTATTTACTCATCTGAATGCAACCCTCAATGGACTAACGACGATCAGAGCTTTGGAAGCGCAAGAAATTTTGAAATATGAATTTGACAAATTCCAAGATTTGCATACTTCTTCGTGGTATATATTTATCGTGACAAGTTCTGCATTTGGATTTTGCTTGGATATTTGTGCTTTTTTATTTACGTCTCTGGTGACATTTACTTTTCTTCTTAGCAGTGATTGTAAGTATAAGAAAGATATCAACACTTTTCTTTAAATTTTTTCTATATCGCAGAATATTGAAAATTTACTAAATATTTGGTGATAATTAGAGCTGTGCAAAAGTTCGAATTTTGTATGGGCTCGGATCGAATATTCGATTCGAGCCCATGTTAATTCTTATTGAGCGGTTGGAATTTTAAAAACTTGCACAGCTCTAGTGATAATACATTTTAAAACAGACAATTTCAAATATAGTCTATTTTCAGCATCGACAGAAAATGGAGGAAAAGTGGGTTTGGCTATTACACAAGTCATGTCGCTAGCAGTAAATATTCAATGGGGAATGCGTCAGAGTGCAGAAATTGTAAATCAATTTATGGCAGTCGAAAGAGTTTTAGAGTATGCCGAACTTCCTCCGGAACCTAATTTACGGGACAAGGGAGTAATATTCAAGAAGAAGCAAAAAATAATTGAATCTTTTGTTACACCTCCTAAAAATTGGCCCACTCAGGGTTCCATTAGATTCCGGAATATGTTCTTGACATATTCTGATGACGATCCTCCTGTTTTGAAAGACTTCAATATCGGCATTCACTCAACTGAAAAGGTGAATTACTATTTATTATAGAATCCATATTTTCACAGTTGATTTGAAGGAAAAAGGTTTGGCGTAACAGTTAAGACACTCATAGATGAGCAGCGCCACTTTAGTTCAAGTCCTAAATCTTCTTCTTCTTAAATGACTTGAGGCTTAGCCAACTGTTAGAACAATAAACATTGATATATATATATATATATAATTGATCTCAATAACAATTTCTAACTTTCTGTCAGAAAAATATAACAATGGAGGGTTAAAGTAAGACTACTGAAGTCGAGCTCCCTCTGGGTAAAACAATGAGACACAAACTCAGATTGAGTGAGAAACATCAATTGTACTTGTAAGGCGGGAAAATGTTCACACCGGGTTTCAAACTCCTTAAATATACTTAAACCTTGAACAAGGGTATACAGTTAAGATATTAAACTGTCGAAGACCACAACACTGCAAGGTGACACCGCAGATATACAAAAGATGTTTACATAGTTCCACAAAGCATTATAAACAGCAGAGGTCGCAGCACGATAACAGTGAGTCACTTCAAACTCAGATACAACCAGTAAAATTCATGAAAAGTCACACGGAACAGAATAAAATAATAAAATGGGTCCTCAGGGTGACACAAAAAATTTGGACATTTCACAAAAAGGTTACGATGAGCGAGGGTAGAAGTCACACTCGCTTATGGAACAAAACTCAGAAAAAATCAGGATTAGAACAAATTTCGAAGAACACCTCGGAAAAAAAAGGTTAAAAAGTTGCTTTCAAAAGCAGAACAAATCATATGTATTCACAGCACAGAGCTTGGCTAAAAATGAACTAATACTTGTTTGAACAAATCAAAGGTAGAACAAAATCAATGTTAAATGCATGGAGTGCCGGAACAAATTCCGTCCGGTCACTACCGCTGCCAAGTTAGAACTCGACTATCAAGTCCTAAATGTCCGCCAATTTTGGTTGCATCACGCAAAGTCGATTCGTTCGCTCAGAAAGGTGAAAGATTCACCCAAAAGTGAAAGAGAACGACTTGCATTTATTTAACGTAACAGTTCTATGCTGAGAGCAACTATGTCCACCAACGTTTTTTCCGTGTATGGGATCAATTTTACATCTTTGATTTAAAAGTGTCTATTTGCTATTACTTTTGTTTTCATAAACCAAAACCTGACTATCTTTCAAATAAATTAAAAGTATTATGATCTTTCAAAATTTGTAATTGAAATACTGTTCTTTAGGTGGGAGTGGTTGGACGAACCGGTGCTGGAAAATCATCCTTAATCGTGGCTCTCTTTCGCCTCGCAAAAATCGATGGAGTCATTGAAATCGACAATATAGACACGGGAACCGTCTGTCTAGAAGATCTTCGACGTCAAATTTCCATCATTCCACAGGATCCTGTTCTATTCTCTGGAACAATCAGAAGAAATCTGGATCCCTTTAACGAATTTCCCGACAGACTACTATGGGAGGTTCTCGAAGAGGTGATTTCCTTATTTTTAAATCGACAGTTCTAAACAGAGGATTGGACTTTGAAATTTTAAACTGTAAATTAATTTTCTGGTGGGAAATGTAAATAATTTTCGTAAATGCCAAACAGGTGGAACTGAAAGAAGCGATTGCAGCCGTCAATGGATTGGACAGTCGAGTGTCCGACAGAGGAAGTAATTTCAGTGTTGGACAACGCCAGTTGATTTGCCTCGCGAGAGCGATTTTGAGGAACAATCGGATTCTAATGTTGGACGAAGCCACAGCAAATGTGGATCCACAAACGGATGCTCTGATTCAAAGAACCATAAGAAGTAAATTCGCTGCTTGCACTGTACTCACTGTTGCTCATCGATTGAATACAATTATGGACAGTGACAAAGTTTTAGTCATGGACGGAGGACAAATGGCGGTAAGATTATTTAAAATCTTCAAGTCTTAAAAATTTACACCATCACTGGTGGATTCGATATACTAACTCACTTCCACTCCTGTTGAAGGTGTTATCGATGTCAATACGACTGTAACTAATTGTTTTGTCATTTCATTGGGCACCCTCTTTTTGCATCCTAGACATCGTCTATTTTCTGGAGATATCAAATCCGCCAGGGATGCTATTAATTTTATTAATTAATTTATTTGTTATTGTAAATATAAAAAATTAATTTAGGAATTCGATCATCCTCACATTCTTCTTCAAAACCAATACGGACAATTTACTTCCTTAGTTAGAGAAACCGGACGAGCTATGTTTGAGCAATTGTCAAAGGTTGCTGAACGTGCGTACTTAACAAAACATGAGGAACTTTCTTAAGATTCTAATTAGTAATGCCATCCAATATATTAATTTGTACTTAAAATATTTCAGTTGTGATAATATTTGTTAAAAGTTTAATATTCAAAATCGAAAATAATTATTAATTGGGTATTGGATTTATAGAACAATTTATAATTCAATTTGGAAGATCTTCTAATAAGAATATAAATCAGTTGCCAAATTTTCATTAAAATGAAGGATCTGTAATTTCATTTATAACACTACATTTTGTAAATGTAGCCAGTAACTTATTTGATTGATATATGTGGTACATCCATAGTAAGGATGGATTTTATACATTATGTATCGAATCAGTTTCACAACCAACAGGGAAATTATTAAATATTTCTTTCTTGTACAAATATTAATTAAATTTTATAAAATTAGGTGAATAAAAACGAAAATATTCGGACAAAGAACAAAAATATATTTACTCCAACGTTTTAAAATCAAATTGATTTCCTCTTCAGGGAGTCTATTAAAAAAATATACAAAATAAAATAATGAATAACAAAAGATTAACAAGATAGTAAAATAAAATATAAATTATCAAAAGTTATCTTACCAAAAAATTAATAAGTCAAATGAACAGAAACATTGATATTTAACAATTGATATTTTACAATTAAATTTTAGTTTTAAATTTTCAAGATGTTAGATTGAATAAAAAATGATACTAGTCTTTAATTTTTTAGAAAAAAAAAAATATTTGTGCAATTTAACATAGCCTCTTATGGAAACTTTCACAAATTCTAGAAAAAAAGGGCGATTAAAATGAGGCAAAAATCTGAGTCTTTGTATATAGAAGAAAAGTACCGTAAAGTTTGGATAAGATTTACCATATGTTTATTAAATAAATGATTATCAAAGTTTAATTTCTCTGAAAATAAATAATGACCTTGAAATAGCAAGAGGGTTAAGCTACTGTATATAATCATATAAAGAACTTTAATTTAAATTGCTAATTTTATTTAAATTAATATGTATTCGTTAGTCTTTTTAATTCGTGTATCTAAAATTGAAAAGTGACAAAATATTAATGTAAAAGGTCGGAAGGTTATTTTTAAATTGTCTCGTTTTCGTGTATTAAAAATCAGTGACAAAAAAAAATCGTTAAAAAATGATAATTCATGCTGTTAAAAGTTCTTCAAATAAAATTGTTATCGATATAACAGAAAGTAGTTCAGTTTTGAAGTCTACGGTAATAAAGCATGTTTTAAATATCGGAGTGAAATTATTTATTATTTTATTACAATTGTGACAATTTATTTTTAATTAGAATTTATTCACATTTCCCTCATTTTTTTTACTTTGAAAATCAATATGAATTTAAATTTTTTCACAACATGGACTTTACACCAATTTTTTGTTTTAAATTATTTAATTTTACCATTAGTGTTTGGAGAAATTACAAAAGTAATATATACTTACGATAAAGATTTAGAAGATAAAGAACTATTTAAAAATTTCAATGAAAGTAGTTATACAATATTAAATGAATCAAATTCGATAATAAATATCAATAGTGAAACTAATGAAAAGTCTCCTTGGTTTTTAAATATACCACTATTGCCGGTAATAGTTGCAACTTCGAATTCAATTCCTGAAGGTTCTTGTAAAAGACAACTACTATTCTATCTTAATCATTTAAAAAATGGAACATTGTGGGCCACTGAAAGTAAGTATTATTGTACTTTTTTCCATCCTTTGTGTAAAAAAATTAGGTTTTGTAAACAGAATTAAAAAATCAATTCTACACTGAAAAAATACTTTATTTGATAAAAATAACACAGCCACACACAAAAAAAAAGTTTTTATCTGGGGGTCTGACTATGCTTACTTTATGTTTTTTGGATCGCTGAATCCGAATTCGAGGTCCGTTTTACCCCATCAGATCAGGATTTTGAGATAACCTCAAAAAACCAATATGGCGGACACTTTTTCGAAAAATTCATCGGATTTGCCTTAAACTCGTTACTCGGGGGTTTTTGGGGTCGCTGTTCACGAATCTAATGTCAGTTTTTAAAAATTCAAAATGGCGGATTTAAAATGGCTGACTCATTTTCGAAAAATTTATCGGATTTGCCGGAAATTCGTTACTCGGGGATTTTTGGGGTCGCTGATCATGAATCTGATGTCAGTTTTTAAAAATTCAAAATGGCGGACACTTTTTCGAAAAATGCCGTCATGGCAGATACACTTAAAAAATTTGTTACGATGCCATCTTGAATTTTTAAAAACTGACATCAGATTCATGATCGGCGACCCCAAAAATCCCCGAGTAACGAATTTCCGGCAAATCCGATAAATTTTTCGAAAATGAGTCAGCCATTTTAAATCCGCCATTTTGAATTTTTAAAAACTGACATCAGATTCGTGATCAGCGACCCCAAAAATCCCCATATTGGTTTTTTGAGGTTATCTCAAAATCCTGATCTGATGGGGTAAAACGGACCTCGAATTCGGATTCAGCGACCCAAAAAAAAATAAATATTATATTTAATTCAATAATTTATGTATTTGAAACAAATACCATTAAATTGACTCAAATATTAATTATTAAACACAAGTAAATAATTATTTGATAATAGCCAAGTAATCAATTATATTTAAATCAAATAATTTTTTTTATCTTTGATATTTATAATATGTAATTAAAATTGTTTTAAAATTCTAGTGTTTGATGCGTCAGCTAAATATCCTTATGGTTTATTCGGTGGTTCAACGCGATTTTTAGGAAGTTTTGATCAGTGTGAACAAATTCAAACGAATTTAATAAATAGTGAGAATGGAGAGATTGAAGAAATACGCAGTAGATATTGTTTGGTGGATGTAAAATTTAATGAAATTAATGAATCTAAAAATTTTATTGAAGAACACGAGATATATTTTGATCCACAAAGTTATGCCTGGGAAGCAATTAGAGTAAACTATTTGAATTTTATTATTTTTCTAGTTTATGATCAACGATTAGAAATCAATTTTTATTTAAATCGTTTATCATAAACTAACAGTTGCGTACTTCAGCATCGTTTATTTTACTAAATCACAAAATTTTTCATTCGGTCAAAGACCGTTGATTTTTAAAAAATAATTTATTGAATACGAATAATTAAAATTCAATATTTATATAAAGAGGTCATTTTCATTAGTATAATGAATTCATTATAATGCAATATATTCATAGAGTGAAATTAAAAATAAATAACTTGAGAGTTTCTTCAAATAAAACATTAAAATAAATATAAAAATACTCGTTTATAGTACATGTGGTGTTAATAAATGAAAATTGATTATTTTAGGAAAAAGGCGATTTTCGGAGGTATCAACGATACTCAATACAAATGGCGTTATGTTTTCCTGCAGAATGTCAAATAGATGATATTGAGGCATCACTAAAAGAACCCTTAGATAAATTTGGCTCAAAATACAATGTACAAGTCAAAGCATCAATTTCACCATTATATTGCTCTTCTAAAGATTCTAAAGAAATCCCATTTTCTAATTATGAGATAATTTTTTGGTAATTTAATTAATCATATCCTTTCTTATTTACTTTAAGAATTGTTCCAGAAATTCTGCTTAGATAATTTGAAGATATTTAAAAATATTTAAATAATTATTTCAAACCAAAGTAACTAAAATTTATTTTATAGTTAAAAGATTAATAAAACACTCGTTTTTATTTATTTATTTTTATTAAAGCAATTGCAATGAAACTGAATACCTTACATTTATCTAATTTTTATATTTCAAAAGTATATCAATTTTTTTCATTTTCTATTTTCAATATTATTTCTAAAAATTTTCCTTTTACGAAGAAATCTTTCTTAAAGTTGGAACAATAAGTTATTTTTTTGAGAGGACAAAAACTTAGGTTTTAACCTTGGTTAAAATCTAGATTATTTTGTCGAAGTTAATATTATGTGCGCAAGAATTCTAAAAATCAATTAATAAAAAAATTTTCAATTTGCAGTTTAACAGTCCTTTTAATACTCACTACTGTCGTAATAAGCACTATTATTGACATAAAGTCAGACAAAAAAGAAGAGAATTCTTTACAAATGAAATTACTATACTGCTTTTCTGCTCGTAGAAATTTTAATGAAATATTCAAGATACGTTATGAACATCGTGGATTAGATACTATTCATTTTATTCGCGTGACAATAGCGGCACTTCTAATTTGTGGTCACAGATTAATTGTACAAATATACGGAGGAACTTTAAATGGACGGTACATTGAATGGGTAATTTAATTAATAATAAAATAATGATTTCATTTAATTGAATAATTTAATTAAAAATTTTATTAATATAATAGAGTATTCCTTATATACATTTTTTTTATTATTCTTTAGCTTTCGACTGAACCAATTTTAGCATTGTTTCACAATGTTCCCAATCTAAATGATGGGGTTTTAGGCTTTGGAGGTCTTTTATTGTCTTACTGTCTATTGAAGGAATTAAAAATATCAGAGAAATTAAACTACTTGCTTCTAATTTTATATCGATTATTTAGGTAAATATGATTAAACCCAAAATTTCATTTGACATAAAATATTCATTTGACGTAAAATTAATTTGATATAAATCTTATATGACATAAATTGCATTTGACATAAATCTCATTTAACATAAAACTTAAGGGGTTAGGGGTAGTCAGAGGCACGAAAAAATGAGAATTTTCAGTATTTTTTTTTGCTATTAAATAATTTTATTTTACAAAAGTAGTAATATGGTATTATTAAACAATGTTTTGACTTGAAGTCACGAAAATTTAAAAAAAAAAAAATTTTTATTTCCGAAGTTACAGCTGTTTGTGTTAACCCAGTTCCAAAAAAAGGTCCTTGCGGTGACAATCATAAGTCCTTGGAGATTAATCAGAAATCAATCGGATAAAAAAAATTAGTTTTATAAATAAATAATCCTGGGCCTGATCGAAGGATTTTTTTTTTTTCAAAAATTAACAAAATGGCGGCCTCAGGAAATTTTTGTCTAGATTTTTGGGAAAAAATCAACAGTTAATTGGTCTTAAAAAATCGAAATTTTTCAAAAAAAAAAAAATCCTTCGATCAGGCCCGAGTTTATTATGTATTCTAAAAGCTGTATAAATTTCATTAAAATCGACTGAGCGGTTTTCGAGTTATAGTTGTCACCAGTTCAAAAAACATAGTTTTGAGAAAAACGCGTTTAGTTTCACACTAGATTTACGTACAAAAAAACGAATTATTAAATTACTTACACCGAGTCATCTATTCCTGGGCCATATTAATTTAGGTACTACTACATATACCCAAGTCTAAGTTCATCGATGACAATAGAACCCTAAAAGCCGATTTCTTGCAGCTGACACTAGCTGCAAGCGCTCCCGAGCGCTTTAAAAGGCCCGAGCTCTCTTTGTTATTTGTCGAATAACTTAAAAACGAATTATCGGATTAACTTGAAATTTTCAGAGATTATTTTTAAGATATTTTACTTAACGAAAATGCAAAAAAAAAAATTTGATTTTTTGAAAATTCTGACTACCCCTAACCCCTTAATTCACATAAACTTCATTTGACATAAAACACACTTCACATAATTTTAAATTAATATAATTATACATTGACATAAAATTTATTTGACATAAAATTCATATAACATAAATTCCATTTGATATAAATTTTATAAATTTCACTTGATATAAAGTTCATTTGATATAAATCTCATTTGACATAAAATTCATTTGACATAAAACTCATTTGTCATAAAAATAGCATTTTTTGATTTTAAAGAAAAGATCCAGAATATGAGATCAGTTTTTGATACCTGAATTGGTATCAAAGTATAACTGTCATGGCTGGCATGCTCTTATTGACAAGTTTATTAATTAATTTATTCACTGCACTGAATATTCAGATATTAAAAATACTTTTATTATGAATTTTAAGAAAGAGAGAAGCGAAAACTTATAAATTGCGAGCAATTAAATAAGAAAAAATTTATTTCGAAATAAAATAAAATACACTAACCTTTATTTCTGTTTATCACATAAGATTTAAGTTAAGTTCACAATCACAACACTTGAAAATTTTTAATTATTTTTGTGGTTCAAATAATTATCAATAACTTATTTATTATAAATGAACAAAATTTAAGCAATGCACGCTTGACATGATTATGACATTTGTAAACAAACAGGGTTGGGAAACAAGAGCCCAAAATATATTCATCCAAAGCGAATTTCAATCCTACCCAACTCTGCTTTGGACGAACATATTTTGGGCTCTTGTTTCCCAACCCTGTTTGTTTACAAATGTCATATATATGTCGATTATGATGTGCATTGCTTAAATTTGGTTCATTTATAATAAATAAATTATTGATAATTATTTAAACCATAAAAATAATTAAAAATTTTCAAGTGTTGTGATTGTGAACTTAACTTAAATCTTATGTGATAAACATAAATAAAGGTTAGTGTATTTCATTTTATTTCGAAATAAATTTTTTCTTATTTAATTGCTAGCAATTTATAAGTTTTCGCTTCTCTCTTTCTTAAAATTCATAATAAAAGTATTTTTAATATCTGAATATTCAGTGCAGTGAATAAATTAATTAATAAACTTGTCAATAAGAGCATGCCAGCCATGACAGTTATACTTTGATACCAATTCAGGTATCAAAAAATGATCCCATATTCTGGATCATTTCTTGAAAATGATTTAAATATTTGGATCAATTTGATACCTTATATCGAATCAAAACGTTGCATTCCAAAATGATACCATCAAGTTTACAGTGATATGAAATTAGGACCTTTCAACACTTCGCCTTTTTATTTAAATGACTATGCACATGGCAATCTATGTTGTCTTCAAAATTTATCTGCGTTTATATCGCTCGAAATTCCTGGTGGTAAAATTAATTTTTCTTTACCATTGCGATTTTTATAAATGCGTTTCATTTTTTTCATATATATCTTCTTTAATAATTAGAATAAATGTACTTTTCCCCTTTGAGGAAGAATTAAAATTAGGCAGAAAATCATCATCACCAGACGATTCATCCTCATCATAATTATCATCGACATTGACATAATCAATATAATTTATTTCATCTTGTCTAATATTAACGTCAATATTGTGGGTTGAGAATTAAGACCCAGCTTATCAAATAATAACAATTATTATGTAAAATAATCATAATCAATAATTGTATAATAATCAGTATTAACGATTTGTAAGAGAATTATTCAAATCGTAGTGCAAACGTGAAGATAGCATTACATTTTTTGAAAATACTATAAATTCCAATAGGCGATTCCAATAGGAAAAGTTTGGATATATATTGCAATTGCGGTGCTATCTTCACGGAGATGTTCAAAAATTAATTCACGTCAGACAGATATTTTATGTTAATAATAAATTTTACAGATTGTTACCACTTTATATGTTCGTTACATTTGCATATGCAACTGTATTTTATCGATTAGGTTCTGGACCATTTTGGGAAGTTAGTGTAGGATTTAATCGAAATTCTTGTTCCTCTTATTGGTGGTTGAATTTGTTTTTAATTAATAATTATTTTGGCGGTAACAATAAGGTACTAAAAACTATACATTATAATATTTCTAATATTAATAAAATATATATAGCTAATATTTGGTAATTTTATTATTATTAATTTTTCTTTCGGTTTAGTGCGTGATTCAGTCTTGGTATTTATCTGTGGACTTCCAATGCTTTTTAATTGGATTATTGTTAATTAATGCATTCAACAAAATGACTCGAAAGATTGGTTACTTATTTTTGGCCTGCATTTTAATGGCTTCAACTTTAATAATTTTTTATGTTACGTATATAAATAATGCAGATCCAATTGTTACATCTTTTGCAGTGTAAGAACTTTATGGTAACTTTTACTTATTAAATTAATTAGTAATTATATATATTTTTTATTTTTTTTCATAGACCAAGAAGAGCAGAAGAAATTGATTTTTTTCTTAATTACTATACTAAAACTCATTTGCGTTTGGTTGCCTATGTTACTGGATTAATCTTTGGAGCTTTGATCAATGACTATAGCAATAATAATTGGCGCATTTCAAAAGTAAGCTAAAATTTAAATAATTCTAATATCACATATACTAATGTTATTTTATTTAACTAAATTTAATTTATATTTATTAAATTAAAAAAAAATTCATAAAATTAATTTAAATATTCTAATATTTATATGTATTCCTCAGGTGTGGTCACAAATTATATTTCTTACTGCAATTCCATTAATACTGATTTCAATATCATGTGGAATATTTTTCACGAATCCAAATATAAAAAGAACTGCTTTCATAAAAGCACTATATGCAAGTCTACAAAAATTAATTGTTGCATATAGTGTATGTTCAATTCCTTTTGTCTTTACAGTGGGAGAAGGTTTAGGTTATGACAATTCTATGAATATATAAATAATTCTTACTTTACACAAGGTAAATGACTTAACAACAAAAATTTGTTATAGATTTTTATTACAAAATAATAACTGCAAGATGGTTACAACCACTATCACGAATATCTTTTTCAATTTTTCTCACACACTTCGCAATGTTTCTTTATGAACTCGGTACTACAAGAACAAGTTATACTGCTACATTTTACAATTATGTAAGTTTTTGATAAAAATCAATTTTCAAGTAAAGCAAACTTTTATAATTGAAATTTGTTTTTTTTCAGTTTAGAGATATTGTGGGGGATATGGTTTATTCCGTATGTCTGGGATTATTCTTCGCTATTTTAATAGAATTTCCATTTAAAAATTGTGGAAATATACTTTTAAGAAGGATGATGAAAGAAAGGTTGTAAAAAAATTGCATAATTCATTTTTGTTTTTCAATTTTGATTAAACATAAATATATAATAAAAGTTTCTTTTCAGGTCACCGATTATTGAAAAAAAAGTGGAATAATAATAATACAAAGATTCAAAACCGATACACTTAAATAAATTTTTATTTTGGTGTTTTGTTCCGACTGATGTCCGAAATTAGCAACTGTTGCAGTTTTTGTGATTTTTTATAAAAGTGTTTATATTTTATTAAATATTAAAGTAATTTTAGCAGATAATGGTACCAACAGTCAGGTCGGTAATGCCGATTTCTATTTTATAGGCAGTCGGTAAGGTAGGAATCTCCCAGAAATTTTAACTCTGCCGATAAGGTAGGAAACTGTTTTACCTTACATTCAATAGGTGGCTCCTACTTCAGTATGTATAGTAAGTGCCCGGTCAAAAATGCAGATGTTTACCTTATCAGCAGTTAGTAATACATAAAACTGAAGATAATTTCAACTATGTCGATAAGGCAGAATTTTTTTTTGCCGGCTGATGTGATATGGTAGAAATCTACGTTACTAGCAATGCAGTCACCATAAACGTTGAAGTAGGCGCCATCTGTAGGGTGGTTGGTTAAGTAACTTGGTCGGTAAAACAGTTTCTTACCTTATCGACAAATATACGATTTTTATCAAGTTCCTACTATACCGACTGCTGCTAAAGTTGATATATGTCCTTAACATTTGACTTTGAATTATGAGGTTATGTTTGCTTCTTGGGCATTACTTATCACCTAATTTTGAAAATATGTTTCCATGTTTGTTAGTATTTTGGCCCTGAACAGTGACAAGTCATTAAGTGGATCGACCGTTATGTCTGAGGTTTATAAACATAACCTCAAAATTAGGTTAAAGTTCAGGGTCAACATACTATAATAAATCAAGAGAACGCTGATGGGTTTGAGATTAAAATCAGTAAACATAACCTTCAAAATTAGGTCAAAATTCAGAGCTAAAATACTAATGTAACCTCAAAAATTCAAGATTTAGGGGGGGGGGGTTACTCACTAAATTTGAATAAGAGAATATTCACTTATTCTAAGTCAAAAATCGTCCATGTAAAAAATAAAATAACCTAATAAATTGATGTATGTATATTTTCACGAATTAAAAATTTTCTGATTTCCTTATACATTTTTTTCTGTTTACACTTTTTAAAGAAAATTGTTTTTGATTATAGATTTTAAAATTTTTTACTTTATTATATTTTGATTAAAGTCGTTGCAGAATAATGGTGCCTTTAAAAAATTGTGACTATAATAATTTAAAAAAAAAAAAATTTGTTCTTGATTTGGATTAACATATCGGGATTTTTTTTTCTTTTTAATATTTTAAAAATCTAGAAAACGACAAAACATCAATGTAAAAGGCCAAAAGGTCGTTTTGTAGATCGTTCCATTCAATTGTAATGAAGATCAGTGACAATTAATGAGTGTTAAAATATGATAATTAATGCTACACTGAGAGAAATTTCTGTCGAAATTTACTGTTGCCATCACCCAAAAAATAAATACAAAATACCATTCACTAATTTTTCTCTGTGCTGTCTGTACTTTACCATAGATAAAAAAAAAATTGTGATTTGACACTTTTCCATTTGTTTTCAAGTGACATTAATATTTTATTAAAATTACTCTCCGTGTTATAAAGTTTCTTTTATATTTATTAAAAATAAAAAATTATTCTTGTTTTAAAGTGCACAGTATTAAAACATGTTTTAAGTTTTATAGAAGAGAAATTTTGCATTGTTTTTCACAATTGTTAACAAATATTATTTATAGGTCAAAAATTATTTGCATTTTCCAACATTTCTAATTTTAGACAAGCGATGAATTTTAATTTTTTCACAAGTTGCGTATTAATTCAACTTATTGTTTCAAACTATTTAATTTCTCCATTAGTGTTTGGAGAAGTGACAAAAAAAATACAAATTTACAATAAAGATTTGGAGAATAATGAACGTTTTTATAATTTTAATGAAAGTAATTATTCGATATTAAATAAATTACATTCTACAAAAAGTGTCTATAGTGAAAAAAGTGAAAGTGATGAAAAATCTTCATGGTTTTTAAATATACCACTGTTGCCGATAATAGTTGCAACTTCGAATTCAATTCCTGATGGTTCTTGTAAAAGACAATTACGATTATATCTTGAACATTTAAAAAATGGCACATTATGGGCGACTGAAAGTAAGTATAAATTAATTTCGCTCCCATGTTATGGGTTTTTTTTACTATGAATTAATAACTGTAAATAAGTTCTCCTCTAAGCAATAATGCCAAACTGTTAATATATGGGTGGATGATCCGTAATGTGACGGTATCACATTTTAGATGTTGTACACTTGACTTCCAGTTTCGTTCTTTAGGAGGGTTTTTACGACAAACAAACAGACATACAGATGCCAAAACGTTAATATATGGGTGGAGAATCCGTAATGTGACAGTGTCACATTTCAGATGTTGTACACTTGACTTCCACTTTGTTCTGTAGGAGGATTTTTACGACAAACAAACAGACATACAGATGCCAAAACGTTAATATATGGGTGGAGGATCCGTAATGTGACAGTGTCACATTTTAGAAGTCGTACAGTTGAATTCCGGTTTCGTTCTCTAGGAGGGTTTTTACGACAAACAAACAGACATACAGATGCCAAAACGTTAATATATGGGTGGAGAATCCGTAATGTGACAGTGTCACATTTTAGAAGTCGTACAGTTGAATTCCGGTTTCGTTCTATAGGAGGGTTTTTACGACGAACAAACAGATGCCAAGACATTAATATATGGGTGGAGGATCCAAAATGTGACAGTGTCACATTTCAGATAGCGTGCATTTGACTGCCGGTTTGTACGACGGACGGACGTCAAAGCGAAACTATAAGGCTTTCAACCTTGGGCCACAATTTTATCAATAATTAACTTTTTTTAAAATAGAAATCCAAAAAACTATACCTGAATAGTCATCTTATGATTGACAAGTATACCGAATAATTGTATAGATTTAATTTTTCTATAATTACAGTGTTTGATTCGTCAGCTAAATATCCTTATGGCTTATTTGGTGGTTTAACACGACATTTAGGGAGTTTTGATCAATGTGAACGAATTCAAGCAAAAATAATAAATAATGAAAATGGAGAAATTGAGGAAATTAACAGTAGATATTGTTTGGTGGATGTAAAATTTAAAGAACAAAATGAACCAACAAATTTTACTGGAGAACACAAGATATTTTTCGAACCACAAGTTTCTGCCTGGGAGGCAATCAGAGTATTTTTAAAGTTTAACTATTTATATATCTATAAAATTTTATTTCAATTTTAATTGACAATTACATGATTTTAATTTAAGGAAAAAGGCGATTTTCGACGATATCCAAGGTACTTTTTGCAAATGGCATTATGTTTTCCCGCAAAATGCCAAACAGAAGATATTGTCGTGGCACTTAAAGAACCTCTAGATGAATTTGGCACAAAATATAATATTCAAATTGAAGCATCAATTTTACCTATATATTGCTCTTGTCTTGCTTCTAAAGAAACTGCATTTTCTAATTACGAAATAATTTTCTGGTAAAAAAATAAAACTCTTCTAAATTAATATAGTATACGCTTTTATATAAAAGTAACAAATATATAGAAATGTAAATATTTTTTTTTTGTTCAACATGCACGATAAACGCGACTTTCCGTGCAGGTACAGCCGGCGGAAAGTAGGCTTTTGCCGCCCGCTACTCTAGAATAGTAATTTTCTAGGTAATTTAAGACACATTTTTCAAGTTGAGTATTTTTAAATAATTAGTTCACCAAATTTTTAATATTTTAAAATAATTATTGAGGATGGTAATTTTGTTTTTGAATTTCAATATTGTATAGTTAAGATGATAAATAGGTGTCTCCTATTAAGTATTTCATTAACCTAATCATATCGGATAAGGTAGAAATTTAATTGACCAACAGTCAAATTTTTATTTACGAAACTCGTACAAATATTTTTCGTACATGTTATAAAATATAATAATATAAATTTCCCTCAAACATAATAAAAATATATCCAGTATCTTTAACATATCAATATTTGGTCTTTGTTTTTACACCAGTTAACTTCCTTATAGACTTCTTGTTTGTCGTGCAATTGGACAAAAAACATAGTGTGCAACACGGGCGGAAAGGTGAATTCCTCTTCTCGTGCGGCAAAATTTACACTCGGTCAGGAATTGACTACTTTCCGCCCTTGCCACACACACAATGTACTATTTCAATTTGCAGTTTAACATTCCTTTCAATATTAACTGCGGTTTTAATAAGCACCATTATTGACATAAATTCTGACAAAAAGGATGAATTATCATTATCAAAGAAATTATTATTCTGCTTTTCTGCTCGTAAAAATTGTAATGATATTTTTCAAATAAATTATGGACAACGTACATTTAACTCCATACATTATGTTCGAGTGATATTGACAGGTCTTGCAATAGCTGCTCACAGAGAAATTCAATATATGTATGCAGGAACTACAAATGGACAGTATTTTGAATGGGTAATTATAATCAATCATACAATAAATAACTTCAACACTGAGACTATTCGAAATAGATTTCAACTTTAAAGATTTGTAACTTTTTTATATATGAGGCAAAATTCCTGAAATGTCCGAACAAAAAATTAAAAGTTCTCGAATTTAATCCATACTTTTCTAAAATGTTGTTATTGTTGGTGAAAGTCTAAAAATCAATTATTATTGAATTTAATAAAATAGTTTTTGAATTACAACGTTTTTAATTTTTGACTTTTGAAAAAAAAATTTTTTTTCAATGTACAATATTTATAAGTAGAATGCATAAAAGTTAACATATATATAATGATTTTTAAAGCTTTTTTGACGAGCTACACGCTGTTAATAAAATTTTTTTTTTTAAATAACATTTGACCTTGAAATTCAAGGTCAAAATGTTAATTTACGTTTATCTCAAAATCGGATTTTTTAAAATTATTTTTAACTATCTCAATGGAAAGCTTGACTAATTTCCTACAAAACATGTAATTTTCAGAGTGGGATCTTTTAAAGTTTTTGAGTTATTAATTAATTAATTAATTAATGTTTATAACAAATGAAATATTTTACAAACGAATAAAGTTACCGTAATTCTGAAGTTAGTAATTGAAAGTTAACGTAATTCCGCATCCAACGAGCCCTATATGAAGTATTTTGGATAAGTAGATTGTTAATAAACAATTAGTTAACATTGCAATTGTTTATTAACAATCTACTTATCCAAAATACTTCATATAGGGCTCGTTGGATGCGGAATTACGTTAACTTTCAATTACTAACTTCAGAATTACGGTAACTTTATTCGTTTGTAAAATATTTCATTTGTTATAAACATTAATTAATTAATTAATTAATAACTCAAAAACTTTAAAAGATCCCACTCTGAAAATTACATGTTTTGTAGGAAATTAGTCAAGCTTTCCATTGAGATAGTCAAAAATAATTTTAAAAAATCCGATTTTGAGATAAACGTAAATTAACATTTTGACCTTGAATTTCAAGGTCAAATGTTATTTAAAAAAAAAAATTTTATTAACAGCGTGTAGCTCGTCAAAAAAGCTTTAAAAATCATTATATATATGTTAACTTTTATGCATTCTACTTATAAATATTGTACATTGAAAAAAAATTTTTTTTTCAAAAGTCAAAAATTAAAAACGTTGTAATTCAAAAACTATTTTATTAAATTCAATAATAATTGGTTTTTAGACTTTCACCAACAATAACAACATTTTAGAAAAGTATGGATTAAATTCGAGAACTTTTAATTTTTTGTTCGGACATTTCAGGAATTTTGCCTCATATGTGAAGCTCCACGACGAACGGTAACTAAGATTTAAAAAAATTTTAGGTTATGTTTTTGATTTTTTAAGTGAAAATACACAAATAAGATCAACCATTTATACCAACCATTGAAGTTTAATTCTTTATTATATCCAAAATATTTAATAAAATCTATTTTTGATTATGTCTGATTAAAAAAGAACTTTTTATTAATGTAAAACTATTACTAAATTTAACCTAAAATTTTT